TATATATATATATATATATATATTCATGATAAGCATTTTAAAGAAATCTAAAAACATAAAAAAAGCTTCATGTGTATTTTGCATAGCTATGATCATGGATTTAATTATTTTCAAATTAATCCTCACTCATTTCAAACATACGTTTTTTAATAATATGAGGCATAAAATGTTAAGTGTTGACGAGATGAGGATGCTCAGGTGGATGAGTGGATTTACTCTTAGATACAGGAGACAAAATGAGCATATATGTGAAAAGGTTAAAGTAGCTCCAGCGGAAGATAATATTAGAGAGTCACCTTAGATGGTTTGGTCGCATAAAACAGTGGCCTTCGGATGGCCCAGTTAGGAAAGTAGATGTATTAGATTTGACTTATGTTAAGAAAGGTAGAGGTAGATCTAAAAAAACTTGGTTAGAAAATATTTAAAATGATCTTTCTTTATTAGATTTAGATGAGAATTGGCTCTTAATAGGACATAATGAAGAAAATGGTTTCATGTACCCGATCACTCATAGTGGGATAAAGACTTGTTGTTGTTGTATGAGGCATAAAATGATAATTTAATATGCATCATCATGAAATAATGAGTAAACATTTGTGTTAATGCTAAGAAATGAGAAATATTAAAATAATGAGAATGAATTTAACGATGCTATGAAATGCCGTATCATATGAGTTAGGCGAGCCAATTTTGATGATATGCATTGAAAGACATGATTCTTGATATTGGGATTTGTTAGTCCAACTTTTATCAGGAAAAATAAATGGACAGGAATTCTTTTTTATTTTTATTTTTTATTTTTTTAATTTATTTTTTTATTTATTTTTTTTTTAAATGGAGAGGAATTCTTGATTCTTGATATTGGAGAGTTACTTAGTTCACCTTTATCAAAGGTAATTAAAAGAAATTTTTTTGACCCTTGATAATGGAGAACTAGTTATCATAACCTTTATTAGGGGGAAAAGTTTACACAAGGAGATTAATAGTTTAGGTTTTAAACTATGATATTCAAGTATGAGTCATGTTAGAAATGGTGTAAGTGTGATTATATATACGAGTTAAGGATAATGTTGTAAAAATTAATAAATTTGAATATAGAAATTATAGTTTAAAGATTGTTGTTGATGCTAATATTATTAATATTATAAGTGCTTGTGCTTCTCAAATAGGTTTGGATATGTGTTCAAAATTAAAATTTTAAAATAACTTAAAAAAATTAATACAAAAGATCCTCTTGAAGAAAGAGTTTTTATTGGATGAGATTTTAATGGATATGTTGGTAAAGATGTATGAGATTTTAAAAATATTCATGGTGGCTATAGTTTTTGAGCTACTAGTGAAGGTGATAGGGCCATATTAAATTTTTTTGCTAGGTTATGATTTTGTTTTTGTTAATACCTTATTTAAGAAAATTAAGGTTTAAATATGCACAATTGGGTATTGAGGCATTTTCTATTTGTGAGGCGAGGCATAAGCCTCATGACTTTTTGAGCTAAGCCTCAAAATCTAAAAATTGCATTAAGTCAAAATAAAATTAAAAGTGATTTTTTATATAATATCCAAATAATATGTTAAAGGATGACATATTAACTTTCTATTGAACTATGAAGTAACAAATTTACATATAGATGAAACAAAAAATTTTATGAGATGTAAAGTGTTAAGTGATAAATTATGTGAAATAGAATTGCGATCCAAATATTACAGGAAGAAAACAACATAAAATATATAAATTGCATAAAAATATCATAGAACATCTAATTTAGCTCAAAAAAATTTCTTTTTTAGTTGCTTACTCATCTACGTTTAATTCCTAAAGAAAGATGAAATGATTGACAACTCAAATAATGTATTTTATCATTACGAAGGGTATTTTTATTTGAGTCATTGTCATAACAAATTTGTCTCTTCCTACCTCATTCTATAAGGTCCATTACATCTCAATCTACTTCTTCATTTATTTCAGTTATCTTCATCTTTTATAAATATTTATCATCAACTTAAAGATAATACTCTAAATTTTAAGAGGAGATGGTGGTTGCGTGCAACCTTCTAGTGATCCTCTGAGGTGGCTACGACGATGGTGGCTACGGTGAAGGGGGTGGGCTG